ATTGGGCTAGTATTCCAAAGGTCGTAGGTTCGAATCCCGCCGTGGTCAGGCATATTTTTCAAGCCTGCCCGGTGTGGATATACACTCAGAGTAACATCACACAAACATCTTATTCACCTGAGTACATTACACCAACACAGCAGAAATCTTAAAGTAGTCAGGAAAAATGCCCAAGTTTATTGAAGCATTAAATATCGCTGCTAATAGCGGAGCTATTTCTTCAGCCGCATCTTTGAGAAGTTTTTGCGTAATTCTATCGTGTCCTGCTGATTTTGATATTTTCATTATGGAAAGTAATTTGTAAACTTCTATTTGAGAAACATTTTTCATTGAGAATTCTGTGCTTGTATAAGTTAAATAGGATTCCGGCGTCCTACCGCTGTTCGATATTTCATTAGATAATTTTGGTCCGACTTCACTAAAATACCTGTTTAAAGCATTTGCAATATCAGACTTATTAGTTATGACCTGATTACCTTGATGGATTTCAGAGATTACGGTAGTTTTTGAGCTTTTGTTAGTAAGTTTATTAACCGCTTTCCACATTTCTTTAGGATTATTCTCGCATTCGTTTAAGGTATTCATAAAATATTCAGCTTTTGCGTTTTTAATTAACCTATTTAAGTCGTTTCGAGTTCTCCTATACGCATCATGAAAGTGTTTCGATCCTGTTTTAAATTAACAGCCTTTTCCTCAAGTAATCTCTTTCAAGTAAAAATCTTGTTTTCCATTTTTTCCACATTACGATTGGATCAAGCGTAGCCTATATACTTGTCAAAAATATTTCATCGTTTAAATATGTAAAAATATCTGCCTTAATTAAAATTATTGGCATTATATTGCTTAAATTGCCTAGTTTTGACAATCTTAGGTTCCCCGCGGGGAATTGAAATACTTCTTTGGATATAAGTCATACTATCGTCGCTGATTCCCAAATGAATGACTCCTAAGCCATTAATTAATTCAGGTGTGTTTGTAAAGGCTAAATCGACTAATGTCTTCGTTGTTGCCGTAAGTTGATTTGGCTCTTTAATTAATTGCTCAAATCGAAGGGTATTCATATTCGGTATTCAATTTCGGCAAAGTATGTTTGTGTCAGGATTGGCTTCATGATTGGCCAAAAGAGACCAATCGCAGTTGAAATTACCAATTAAAATAACTTCCTCATTTTCGGAATCCATCTGGGTAATTAGGTTTTCGTAAATATTTATGCATTCTTGCGAGCTATTTGGTAGTCCATACAAACTATTAACTATAAATGATCTGGCTTTCGGCTTCGTAATTTCAAGTGTTAATGTCTCAAGACTTTCATCGGAGAGATCGTTATAGTGTATAAAGCACGCACAATATCGTTCGTATATTCTCACTCTGCTTTTCTAAACAACGTAGAAACTAGAACTACCCAGTACCCATAATACTCCCAAGCATCATTAATGTCCTCAGCGTTCCTGTCGTTACTACTTACGTCACAGGACGCTATATCCCTCCTTTTACCTGGAGTTAGTGTCAATGCACTTGTCTAATATTTACGAAACACAACCAGTCTTATTGGACTATTAAATATAAAGAAATCAGTTAATATAAACGAATATTATTGTTAAGTTCAATCAGCACTGTCCGTAATAGTCCGGTGGCTGTCTAGCCCGTTTTGGTCTTATACTGACCTCGTTCTGCTTTTCATGTTTCTTCTCTTCGCTGACCTGTTGTCCGCAATTTTGGAGTCCTCTTTTCTTAGTATTCGCGACGTCTTTTCCATCAGGAATCTTACGTATCATACTTGCATTTCTCATAATCTGTCGTTCAAAGGGTCGTTTCAGTAGCACACTGGGCCCTTTCTTTTCTTCGACAATGTACGGCTTCGGATCATAGGTCCTCGACAATTTTGTTTGCCGAGGTTGACGGAGAAGCACCGTATCTCCCTTTTTCACGTCGGACGATGAAGCTAGGTTGTGGTCATCAGCGTAAGACTTTATTTTGTCTTTTCTTTCGCGATCATGTTGACAAACTGTTACTGGTATGTCATCAGCTGGTGTCGATGTTGGTGGCATGGGTATTTTATTTCTAATGTAACGGCCATAAAAGAGAACTGCAGGTGGTTTCCCCGTTGTACAGTGGGGAGTTGAACGATAATTCAGTAGGAAAACATCAAGTTCTTCTTTCCAAATTTTCACTGCGACGTTCGCTGCACGTATTGCTTTTCTACATTTCGGTTAAAAAGTTCTACTTCGGAGTTTCCCTGGGGGCAATAGGGTGTGACTTTACGGTGGACAATACCACAATTGGAAAGGTATGTACGAAACTGAGCGGAGGTGAATCGTGGTCCATTGTCAGTAACAATTTCGTGCGGGATTCCATGGGTTGCAAATGTGGTCTTCATGAATTTTATGATAGCGGTGGACGTAGTACTCTTCATAATATGTACTTCTGGCCAACGGGAGCAGGTATCTACCATGACGAGAAGACTTTCTCCACTGGGAAAAGGTCCTCATAGATCGGCATGCAGAGTTTGCCATGGCTGATTTGGCATAGTTGTCGTGTGAAGGAGCGGTGGTGTGGATACTGGACCTTGGGCTTGGCATGCAATGCACGTACGAATTAGTTGTTCTATGGCTTGGTCAATGCCAGGCCACCAGACTTTTTCTCTTAGCAGTCATTTTGTCTTCACGATGCCCTGATGCCCTTCGTCGACTAGTTTCATAGTTCGTTCTCGGAGAGACGTTGGCATCAAGATACGGGACCCACGAAGGATAATGTCGTAAATAACAGTCAGTTCGTGTCTGATACCATAATATGGACGTGTCATATTAACCTTGGGTCAATTGTTCTTCATGATTCACTCGCGAAGAAATTGAAGAACCGGATCTTGGTTGGTGGCTTATTTTATTGTACTAAGAGACAGGGCCTTGGGAGCTGCATTCTGAGCGACAAACTGGACATATTCTTCAGCCGTGTTGCGAGTATTGGTTGTTGCATTGGGAAGTGGCAAACGAGAAAGTACATCAGCAGGATTATCAATTCCAGGTGAATACTTAATGCAAAATTTATACGGTTGCAGGCGAAGGCCCCACCGTTCAATGCGCGCAGGGGGTTTTGACGTCGGACTGTAGAGTCCCCAGACAACCACCAAGGCCTCACGCTCAGTCTGAGAATAACGCCTCTCAACAGCTGTAAGTGTGCGACTTGCATAGGTTACTGGTCTGCTTTTATCGCCATGAGTTTGGGTTAATATAGCCCCCAGCGCAAATGGACTGGCGTCAACACGAAGCTGAGTGGGGGCATGACAAAATTGTACCATGACGAAATTGCTAGTAAGAGTTTTCTGCAAGGATTCGAATGCATTTTGGTGGAGTTTAGTCCATTTAAATGGTGCACCTTTGTGTGTGAGCTGCTGAAGTGCGGCTGCTACGGTGGAGAAATTTTGGATAAACCGGCTGCAGTAGTTCACAAGACCCAAGAAACTTCTGACCTCTGAGGCATTGGGTGGCTTTGGGGCATTTCGAATGGCAGTCACAGTCTCATCGGTGGGTCGTATACCATTTGCCGAAATGGTATATCCAAAAAATGTGACCTCAGAAACACTAAATTTGCATTTTTCTCTATTGAGAGTCAGACCACACTCATGGAGTGTTGCTAAGACAGTGTTAAGGTGATGGTCATGTTCCTGTTGGGTTTTCCCAAAAACAATTGTGTCATCTGAGATGGTTCGCATCCCAGGGCACCCTTGGAGAGATTGATGAATCACCTATTAGTATATTTCTGGTGCCGCAGAAACACCAATCATAAGGCGCTTGTACGTAGCGATAGAGACTGGTGTGTGTAGCAAATGTTGTATAATGCCTTGGTTGTTCGTCAAGTTCAATCTGATGGTACACCCACCTTAATTTGAGTTTTGAGAAGACACATGCACCAGTTAAATCCTGTAAATCTCCCCTACGGTGGGAATTGGGTACCTTTCTATGATCACTGCTGTGTTGACTCGAAGAACAGCTGGGCATTCTGTTGTCGCTGTCTAAATATTGCGGGCGCATTTCTTTAACAAACATTTTGATTCTTCGAACGCTGAAAATATGCATTGTGAGAGGATTTTTTGTCCTCTTTTACTGGTTTGTTCATGGAAAATAAAGTGTTTCTTGAAAGATTAAGTTGTAGTGCTTGTACGCAACGATATAACGACTTAATCACATGAAAACGTGCGAAGAATTTTTATTTACAAATGGGCGACAAGTGGAAATGTTTCACTCATTGTCAGAGTTTCAGAAGCAGGGTACAGCAGTATGGAAACAAGGAAGTGTTCATATTTTGCTCTTGATAGAAGCGGAGTTGTTGTTGTTTCCACAGGTATGTTCAATAATTTGTTTGTCCTTCCTCATCTGGAATAATAAGTGTCTTAAAATACATATTTTGATGAAAATGACACATATTCCTCTTGCAATTTCGTAGAAACTGGCCGTTGCCTTCAGTTGGAAAATATATTTTATGAAAGTTAAATCATACTTTGTTTTATTAAAACCTGAGCTATTCATGGGAAAAATGTGCTAGATGTTGTAATTGACAAATCCACTTGTGAAGTGAAAATGTCATGTTGTCACATGCTTATGAAATTGCTCCTGTATTGGTTTGTTAGAAAGTAAAAATTGCTGCAAAAATGCTTTTGAAAATGTTCAAGTATTGGTTGTTATGAGATAGGAAATGCCGCATTGATTTGTTCAGTTTTAAGAGTCTAACGGCAATCCTGAATATAGGCATGCTTGCTTTGTGAAATTCTGTGGTGATATGGCATATAAATAAAAATATCTTAAAATTTTTACCATTGCCTCTCTCCAAAATATGGCTTAAAACTATCCTTATTAGTCAACCTTCATGGAAAAGTTAGTGGGTATGCTGGGAAAAATGCGCGCGGCACTTTTTTTGGACACTGAAGATGGTAACATTTGATGCTGTCATATATTGCCATCCTCTTATCATAGCATAACTTAACTTATTTTAGTGAGTTTGTTGAAGCATTGTGCTCACTATATGCCTGTGGTATCTAAGACTTTTTCATAGCATTATATGACAAATTTAAGTTGTGTTTTCTTTTATTTTTAGGTGATAGTATCTGTTCACTTGAGTGTTGGTATCAAATTTTGGACAAGTTTCAATTATTATTTCACATTCCTTTATTCAAATATCCAAATAAATGAAATATGACATCAAACTGGACGACTAGATTCTGTTTCCAAACTTGTTTTTGTAAAAATAGAAAATAACAACTTATTATGTGTTGTTCTAATAAAACCTATTGTTTTTGATATGCATATTTAATTTTTAAAATTACAGTCATTCTTTGCTAAAATGTGTACCAGGAATACTGAAATCTTTCAGATCAGCTACCAATTCCCTTTATAACTTATGTAGCCAAGTGTTCTATCAATTTCT